AGGCAATCCTGCTGGACTGAAATGGATAGAGACAGGGCTACGGGGAGCAGAGAGCGTGAGAGCCAGGCAGACATAAAGAAGCAAACAAGCACTGGATGAAGACTGAACAGACAGCAGCAGCCAGGCCCAGCAGCTCATGTGCTAGGCCAACCCTCGTGGCAATCCCAGTGGAACAGTCCAAGCCAAAACAACTCAGCCAAATCCTGAGCTCATTTTAATGGCTTCTGTCCCAAACCTGAGTCACTGGGGATTCCATGGGCTTCTAAGAGAGCCCTACATGCATTTCTAAAAACAAACTGCCTGATGCTGTCATGGAAAACCTGGATCTTTGCGTTCTACGGTTTCATTATGGATTACATCCAGGTCACAACCTAAGGAAGACAGCTGGCAGCGACGACCCTGCTGGCCGGTTACCCAGCTTTTGTAATGAATCCCAGAGGGCTCCGGACTGATGCGTGTTTCTGGCTCTGCCAAGTTCTGGACAAGTCTTCACCTCATGGAGACCAATCAGCCTGTGATTTAGTCTGTGGAGCGAGCCTGCAAAGCCACCTGCAGTCAAGGCTCAACGGCGAGGAGCTGCCTCCAGTAAGGAAAGAAATGAGAGTGTGTGTGTCAGGCGGAAGAGCAGTGAGAGGAAGTTCTTGGTTTTCCTTTCAACTCAACTGCTATCTTCTGCTTTTTAAAAAAAATGCCCCAGGGACACCTACCGTCCCCCCAAAGCCACTCAGCCCCATCACAAGCAGGCTATGAAGGGGCCAGGAATGGCCCTATACAACACAGTGATGCTTGATACCCCAGCAGAACAAGCTCAGTTCCAAAGACTAGAAGAGAAACCACTCTTCCTTCAAATGCAGCAATTTTAAGAAACAAAAAAAAAAATACTAAGTCCTGCCAAGGAAGCAGATAAACTTTAATAACCACAAAGCTGCCACTGACTATTTACTGTGTGCCAAGTACTATGCTTAAAACTTTCTTCTCACATATGATCTTATTCAATCCACAGAACAACCCTGAGGTTTGTATTTACGTCATCATGCCCATTTTACAAGTGAGAAAAGAGGTTCAGAGAAGTGAGGTCAATTACCAGCCACTTCACAGCCACCGGAAGGGTAGGTCAGGGCTGATGCCGAGGCAGGTGAGGCCTGACCTCTCAGGCGAGAGAGAGAAGTACTGAACTCCAAAGGCGTCTGTGCTAAGTATTTAGAAAATGTCAGAAGGGTGCCCACCAGTATCCTAGATCTTGAAGGCAAATCCCATATCTGGGTTAACTTAACAGTCAATAGTTGTATCTTATTATTATTTTTAAGTAATCTAGATTCTGAGAGTTCCACTGAAGTAGGAAATTCTTTCATACCCACTTCTAAAATCAAAATACCCAGATTTGGATAATTTATGTTACAATTTCTGTAGGCAATGAGGCTACACAAACCCAAGGCCTTTTTACTCTTTAAAATTAGTTGTACTAATCGGGGCGCCTGGGTGGCTCAGTGGGTTAAGCCTCTGCCTTCGGCTCAGGTCATGATCCCAGGGTCCTGGGATCGAGCCCTGCATCAGGCTCTCTGCTCAGCAGGGAGCCTGCTTACTCCCCTCTCTCTCTCTGTGATCTCTGTCAAATAAATAAATTTTAAAAATCTTAAAAAAAAAAAGTTGTACTAAGGAATGTGCTTACAGTATCTTGTAATTTTTCATCCAGTTATATTTTACAAAAATGTTACTTCTGCCAAAATGAAAGTTTTAAGAGCAAACACAGTCTGAGTGTATTTCCAAAGAATGCTCTTGTTGCACTGGCAACAGTTTCTTTCTCACCATTTGTTCCGAGAGATCCAGGGCTGAGAACCGGGGGGTAGGGGTGGGAAGACTGATGCTCGCAGCTGCACCGAGTCCCTGGCTGAGGCTGGGGCCGCCCAGATGCTATTACATATTGGCCGACAGGAGAGAAAGCAAGTCAGCTGTTTCAGACACTGGTGGGGCAACTTTCTCAGCCATAGATTCAAGGACCATGGCAGCCATATATGTTGGTCTGAACTACCCAGCACAGGTCTCCATTCAGAGGGAAAGAGCCCACCAAGCATCCCTTACAGATCACCCCCCACTCCGAACCATGAGGGAGTCACTGCGTACTCAGTCTCACCCACGATTTCTGCTCGAGGGGGACGCTGCTAGGCTGGGCGGAGAAACTACTTCCTCCTGTACTTCTGTTCTTACCCTCAGATGAGTGGGCTCCAGAGAGGTGGTCTGACTACAAAGGAATCTCTATCTCTTGCCCATTTGAAATTTTAAGTAATCTCAGACTTTCTGGGACGCTGTATGTATTCACAGGGAACATAAGTGAGAGGGGTGGGGAGAAAGTTCTCTTAGAACTAGAAACTAGAACTAGAAAGTTCTCTTAGAAAATCTAGACTTGGGATGGAGAGGTGACCAACAGACCTCAGGTATGCTACTATTTTCTTCTTTTCAACCTTCTTCCCAGAGATACAGAGAGAAAGAGGGGCGGGGGAGGGAGGGAGGGAGGTCAGGAATAATTCATTGGAGCGTATGAATAATTCCTACGACATGCACTGATCTTTGTGCCAAATGAACACTCTTGTCATTTATGTGAAATAGCAAACAAGAGCACCAAAAGATTTGCTGGACTAATCTTCATTCTTCGAGACTGAGTTCACTGGACTAACACCTTATTAAAAACTTTGTGGGGGCGCCTGGGTGGCTCAGTTGGTTAAACATCCGACTCTTGATTTCAGCTCTGGTCATGATCTCACAGTCAAGGGATTGAGCCCCATGATGGGCTACATGCTGGGCCTGAAGCCTACTTCGGATTCTCTCCCTCCCTCTCCCTTTGTGCCCCCCCGCTTCAAAACCTGCATGTAAATAGTAAGACTGAAAGGGTATCTGTAAGTTGCTTCTGAATGACTGTAAAAGACAGCTTTAGGTGTTATGGCCCAAGATGCCCCATTCGGGCTATAGACGGCTACAAGTGCTAGAAGGCACTAAGTTTCTCAAGATGAAAAGCATTCTTAGGGATGACATACCAGAAGTTTTGCCTGCGTACCAGAACTTTGATAGTAAGTTTCATCGTAAAGGCACGAATCACCAAGTATGAGGACATATACACAGTAAAGAAAAATTACACAGAAATCCACTTCTCTTGTCAACCAAGGCTCTTTGATGGGCTTAATAAACTGGGCACACTGCCTTCTCTTCATCCACCCATTTTCTCTGGCTTTTCAAAAGCCTTTGGTAGTACTTCTCAGCAGAAGTTTTGCTATGCACACAGCATATATACACATTCCTCTGAGGCACTGTGCGTCTCAGCGCAATAAAGTATGGGCATTTCTCTGACAAGGAAAAGATGAATCTTACTTAACGTATCTGCGAGGTAAAATGCCAAGCTGAAGGGGATAAACTTCAGATTTCAGAAGATTTCAGAATAAAAAAGGGGATAATGAGCTTCACAGAATTAAAAATCTAGAGTAAAAAAAAAAATCTAAGGTAAGATTGTATTTTCCAGGCCCCCTATTTTTCAGTTGAGGAATGACAAGGCCCAAAGAGGTGGCATATTTATCTCAAGCAAAACTGAAAATCAGAATCCTGACTTCACAAATTCTGTGAATGCCCAGGACTGCCCGAGTCCTTCATCATCTGGCTATTCCTCTCAGGGAGACAGGGGCCCCGGAGGATATCCCGCATGCACACAGGTCAGGACTGTGCAGCAGGCCCTCTCTCCCTCTTCTCTAGGCTCTTATCCACCAACCATCACGTATATATGGGGGTTTCCCGAAGATTGGACGAACAGAAAGCATTATCTTATCAGCTATTTGGAAAATAACTTGTTTGATCTGCTGATTTGGAAGCCAGCCCTGCTGAGCTCAAGAGTTTGCTATTAGGCAGACTACAGTGAATTCACTTGGGGTCTGTTTCCTTACAGCCCTGGACACCAGGCTCAGGGCTTATCTTCGCTGTCAAAGAGTCCCACACATAAGGCTTTAGCATTTGCTGAGGGATGAGTCGCCTGTGGCCTTCAGTTAGGGTTTGTGGGTGGATTACTGTTCTCCTGGTAGAGTTGAGATTAACAAATACCTTGGTTCTAATTGTTTAAAAAGCTATTTTTTTTCCTCCTGAAAGATCAAAGTGAGAGTCTATTCCTTTAGTTTCTTGAGGATATCTTGAAACTGCAGTGTCTGTATCTATGTGTACATACTTCTGCCATCCAGAACAAATCCCTTGAGCCCATACAGACTGACTGATGCCCTCTTGGTTCAGGATCCACCTTCCAAACCCATCCGGGAAAGGCTATGAAAGCGCTGGGGCGCACAGAAGTTATCCTGCAACTCCCTGCCTCCCCTCAGGGTCATTGTGAAGGGTGCATACTCTCCTTTCCAACGATTTCTAATGAGCTCATTAATGAGAAATTGCCTGAAAGTAGGGCAGTTAGCTTGTATTTTCTGATGTGAATGCACAGAACATTCTGTCAGACTACGGGAGACAGACAATTTAAACCAGAACACTATTAAACACAGAACAGCTGATATTAATTCCTTCCCAGCCTGCTTCTTCCTCTCCCAAAGCTGAAATCATCCTGTGGTTGGGATGGGATCGAGCACCCGGCCGGACCCACTGCCCAAGACTGAAGGCCCCACACTCACATGCCTTCCTTCTTAGCACAGGGTGCCTGCTGCGGGGGGGGGGGGGGGGGGGGGGGCCTCTCTCACCCGAATTTCCTCAACGGGATGCACTAACGGGAAAGCATGCTTTTAATTTAATGGTAAAAACAAAAAAAAGGGAGTAGTTACTCTAACAAAATCCAATAACTTCGAACCCAAGGAAATAAGCAATGACGAGGAATATGGGAGAGAAAGACCAGGCGACAGTGCAACAGGGAAAAGGGAGCAAAGCCAGTCTGACCGGACAGGAGCCTGCTCTTCCCAACCGGCAGGGAACGAGGGGCAGGGGGCGCGCCGCACACACAGGGCAGAGCCCCGGTCCCTCTCCCGCACGCTTACCTGCGATCCCTTGCAGCAGCCCGCACACGTTGAAAATACTCTTCTTCATGATGCTCTGCACACACATGGTGAAGACGGACACCAAGGCCACAGTGCAGAGAATGAAGATGCCCACGGCCAAGAAGATAGCGGTGGCCTGCCAGAAGCCGCTGGCGATCTCGCCGAAGCTCTCGGCGTAGGGCCCGCACAGCGTCTCCCGCTGCACGTGCTGCACGCCGGGGTTGCGGATGCAGCGGTTGTAGATGCCCAGGGTCGGGTGGTAGGGCTCCGACGGGCCTCCGCTCCGCTCGTCCGGCTCGGCGCCGCTGAGACTCTTGGCTTTGCCGATGAGCCAGTCGGCGCTCATGAAGGCGATGAGCTCTGCGAAAGCCACTACGATACTCAGGAGGGTCCAGAGCATGGAGCGACAGGTGACAATAACATGACACATATTGATGTTGCAGGCGGAGAAGTCAGGACTCCACGGGGTGAACAGTAACAGCCGGCGGGTGGGGAAGGAGGCTCAGGCGGCCTCAGGAAGCAGTCGCTGCTCCGGGCGCTCGCTCCCGCAGCCGGGGGCTCCTCCTGGCCGGCCTCTGGCAGTGCGGTCCCAGGCCGTCATGCTGCCATGTCCGAGCTCGGAGCGCGGCCTCACCTACGGGAGGGAAGGGAGGAGGGCGGTGAGCTGCGGCCAGGCTCCGCCCTGCAGCACGGCCGCCGGGAGCGCGCGGTCCCCAAAGCCAAGTGTGCGGCGGATAGGGCTGCTCCCCGCCCTCCCCAGCCCGGGCCGCCACTCCCTGTCCCAGGGAAGCCCGCTGAAGGCGCGGGTCCCAGTGTCAGAGCAGATGGCCGGCAGCCCTTCGCAGCGCCGGTCCCGGTTGCCTTTGTTCCGACTTCCCCCTTCCCGAGCTCTCACACAGTGTGTGGCCGTTCCCTTATCTGCCGCCGGTGGGGGTGGGGGTGGGGTGGGGGGGGGTGTCCTGCACTCGCCCCAGGCGCACCCTTTGGCCCTGGAGCTTCCGCCTCCGCACTCTTGGGACCGGACTCCCGCTCCAGCATCTCTTACTAGAAAAGGTCAACACCGCGGAGATCCAGATACATCTAGAGAGGGCTGGCAGGCAATGAACCCTGGCAGCAGACGGGCTCTGGTTCTATAAAGCTCACAGGGACTCTCTGCCCGCTGTCTTGGTAGTAGATGAAGTAAGTTTTGAAAAATGCGCACCAAAAGCTTTTGCTTAGAGAGTGAGCGCAGCAACACCCACTTTTATTGCCTGGGAATCAAATTAGTGGCAGAGACCGAAGAGTGAGGGTTTGCTTCACAGGTAAATAAGAATATAAAAGTAAACACTGCCATGAAAAATAACAACACACTGTTCCCCAAACTTATTTTTATTCATTTCTCACAGGGTGATTTCTGGACAAAACAACTACACTAATGAAAACTCATAGAAGAAAAAAATAAGAAAACCTTGAAGAGTTCATGACTTACTCACTTGGGGAAATCATTCAAAACAGAGGCATTAATGACCACTGACTAAGTATCATCATTACCACAGAGTAGACTTGTTGACAACAGAAACTCGCCTAGGAAGAATGCACTCCTTGAACCATCCCAATTCAGCCCATGTGCCTCTCTGCCTGAGCCTCCCTTCACCCCAGGTCTGCAACTCAACATGTCCATTGTTTCTGGTCTCACAAGGGCTCATTCTCTTCCCAGGAACAAATGGCTTCATTACCAGAGGGCTTTGCTCTAACAGCTCAAACCTCCTTGAGAGGGGCCTGAGCCCTGAAACGGTACCGTGCTCCCATCTGCTGTCCCTTCTTCAAGGTCAGGAAGAATCACACAGTTCACATCTGACATCTGGGCACAAAGCTGTGCCTTGAATGATTAGACACTGTTAACTGAGGTCATGTCAACCTCATGAGAACCACAAAGAGCCCCCTGGTGTGCTGGCAGTGAGGTAGGGCAGGGAGTTATTAAAGAAGAAGGGCAGTGGGGAAATAAGGAAGCCCAGAGTCAAAGCTTCGTCACCACTCTAGTTGACATGCCAGTGAGAGATTACTATTTATCTCATAAAACATGGCACATTCAAAAATCCTCACATCATTATAGTTACCCAAGATGCTGTTTTAGGAAATTACCTAACTAGCACTAAGGACACAGGTCCTTCATAATTGTCAGTGTGCGTGTGTGCGTGCATGCGTGCGTGTGCGTGTGTGGAGTGCAGCTCTGCTGAGCACTGGTGAAGGGAGGAGTGGGTTCCACTCTAAGAGTTTTGGGTCCTGTCGGGTCTGGGTTCCAAGCCCAGCTCCACCACGCGCTGGCCAAGCGGACGCCTCAGCTTCCTCACCTACCCCCATGACAAGGGTTAGGTATCCTGCTTCACAGTGTTGCTTCGAGAAACTATCATGAGTCTGTCAGAGGACCTCAGTGTCTGGCAGAGTCAGCACTCAATAACTATCACCTCCTTTCCCTCAGAAGCCTTTCCCAGAACACAGAGGACATGGGTCAGACAACGGTGTGACGGCCGGAAGCCGAGGGCAGGTGACAGAAACTTGGCCACTACACGCAGACAAACATTAAGCAGGTGCTATTTAGAGACGGGTGACGTCACTTTTGTCAGCCTCCCAGGTGAGCTTCACGGGTGGGTCCTGGTCTTTCTTCCTACTTCCTCACCACCTACCCCGCTGCCAAACTCAACTGTGAGATTAGCACTAGGCCAGAAGGAGAACCTACTCGCTCTTGCTCATCTCACCCCCACCCAACCCCAAATACCACCAACTAGAAATGCCTTTTGAGAAAAAAGTTACTAGTCCAAAAAGCTTTGGAAGAGACTGTTTAGCCTGAGACGATCATTCCAAATGAGAACAATTAACAAGCCAGTGATGACTCCCGCGAGGTCCCACATGGCGTGCCAACCTGCCTGGCCACCAGGCTCGCGCCCACCCGGAACCGGCCAGTGGAAGGCCAGCCCGTGAGAAGATGAGGCTTCTACAAAGTCTTTTCATTGATTAGAAAACCAGTTCCCTGATGTGCTAGCCAATCTCGATCCCTGCTCCTCTTCTGTTTAATGGACAATTTTCAACATGAACATCAAACTTCTCTGTGTTTGTGCTCGTATGGAGCCTCAGGGCTCTGCTATAACCTCTCAGGTGACCTGGAGCTTAATGAGCATGTCATGTGTCCACTGTCCCGGGCAGCAAGCTCGGCTCAGAGTCAGGCCTGCATTCAGGTCACCACTTATGAGGACAAAGGATGTGAAACTTCAGGAGGACAGAAGGTGGCACATCGAGGCTGAGCAAAATGGTCCGCACCAAATCTAGGGCAGGATTATTTAGGAAGCCAAGTGCTTAAGTTCACAAAACATAGTTCTGTCCGTCTGTGCTAAAACGATCCGCCCTCTACTTCACCAAGTTCTCACATCCATCAGTGGCTGGAAGGAGGCTTTTATTCACCTGTTTGGAAGAGGGAGACAACATGCTTTGCTCTTTCCAGCCTAATAGTTTGCTAATAATTACTACAAGTGGAATGGCCATACTATACACGGCTGACTGACCGGCTTTCCTGGGGATCCGAGAAAAGTCCTCAGATCGACAGGACAAGAAATCCATCAATGGGCTTCACCAGGTACCTGTGCTCTGTAGAATGCCCCCATTTGGCCATGTCACATGTGCAAGGACAGAATCCTGCTGGCACAACATCCGTATCAAAGGGGACACAGATCCTCATGACAGATGTTGTGAACCGTGGGGATCCCAGCACAGAGCTCAACACACCTCCACCGCCGTCCCCCCGACTCCCTGCCTCTTCACAACTCACTCGATAAGACCAGGCCCTCGCTGACATTCCATGCAGATGCCACGACATACACTTCCACTCCAGAACAGCTGACTTTACTGTCCTATCCCTGACAGCTGTGGATCATCTGGACAGTCCTCTGACTTTCAGAAAACGATGCTAGGATTCTCACAACGGCCCACCATCAGAATGCAGAGCAAGGGGCGACTGACAAACGGCTGGTCTCCTGAAAGCCCTCCTATTTAAACAAGGGGGCAGGTAGTAGGCTGAACTCAGCTGGGTTTGTCGCTTCCATCACAGGGGCCTATCTTTGGCAGCTTCCTGATGTCAGCGAGCAGGGTAGGAGGTGCAGGGGGAGCACAACCACCCGGGGCCAGCTGGCCAGGAGACGACCGGAGCAGACGCCGAGGAGCAGAGGTGCACTGAGGACCTGACTCCGGCGTGTCACAAGCTAGGCCAAGTGTGCTGCCAGCACTGGAGCCGCGAAGCCCGGGAATGAAACCGTACCAGAGTTTTCAAGGACACAAGCCTGCTTCTTCACCTTGGTTCTCTTTTTCTTTCCTTCCTTCCTTCCTTCCTCCCTCCCTCCCTCCCTCCCTCCCTCCCTCCCTCCCTTCCTTCCTTCCAAGATTTTATTTATTCATTTGACAGAGAGAGAAGGAGAGGTCACAAGTAGGCAGAGAGGCAGGCAGAGAGAGAGGGAGGGGAGCAGGCTGCCTGCCTGCTGAGCAGAGAGCCCTATGCAGGGCTCCATCCCAGAACCCTGGGATCATGACCTGAGCCACCCAGGTGCTCATCTTTTTCTACTTTACTACGAAAACTGGCAAAGATACAAGTTGAAAAGAACAGTCCCTGAACATTCAACTTCGACGCTCGTATCCAGCCTCATGCTAACACTCAGACGTTTTCTTCTGAATCATGTGAAAACAAGTCACAGATGTCTTGTCACTTCAGCCCTAAGTCCTGCAGCATACACCTCCTAAAAATAAAGCCCTTTTCCTACATGGCCACAATAAAATTAACACACCCACAAAACCTGACAGTACCTTCCTTCTATCCAAAGCCTGGGCCACACTCAAGTGTCCCTATCCTGCCCCATTTTCTATAGTTTTTTCTTAAAGGCATGACTCAGTCAAGGCTCATGCATTGCATTTGGTTTTGTATCTTGTTTCTTTAGTAGAAAACAATCCTTTCACCCTGAACTCTGTTTGCATTTTTTCCCTTGACACAGAGAAATGTTTTTGAAGATACCAGGCCAGCTGCCTTGCAGAACACCCAACAATCTGGATTTGTCCATTTCCTCCTGATGTCCTTTAAAGTGTTCTCTATGCCCTGCTTTACAGAAACGAGGGTAAATCTAAAGGCTAGTTTAGAATCAGCTTAAATATTTTTGGTGAGACTCCACTGCGGATGATGCTGTTTATTCCACTACCTCACATCTGGGAGGAGTAACACTGAGCACACATCAGAATCAGAGTGATTATACACATATGGAGACATATACAAATACATATATGTGTACATGTATTAATATGTATGTATTTTATGTATAGACAGAGGCAGACAGACAACTCCGTGGCCCTGAAGAAATCAGAATTTTGGTGAGGGAGCATGCAGGAGGCCAGCTGGGCAGGGCTCTGTGTGTTTGGAAGACTTCCTGGGAGTTTTGATGGCAATGTTGAGAAGCCCTGTCCTAAGCCGTGTCCGGGAAGCTTAAAAAGTCCTTTACCAAAGGGATTGTACGTCTAAGGAATATCTGCTGTCTTTCTTTGAAATGGAATCACATTTTAGGTAGGACAGCTGAAAGCACAGACAGCTCTGCAGGCCTGGGGAGCAGGACAGAGCCTTACAGAGGA